ATTCTCTGATGTACACCAGTAATGTTCTTTGGGTTCTTTTGCATGTCCTCAATGTATTTACTTTGAGTTCTTTTCTCCACATCATCCAGTGGTCATCATTTGTAGATCTTAGTCCACAATTTAGGTATTTGGCGAGCACTAGTCTGAATATACCACATTTATCTCCGTGGTAAAATTAAATTTTATTAGGCTTAGAAATTAATATATTTGCTCCTGCTTAAGCTGGAATGTCACAAAGGATAAAGCCCATTCCATTTTTATTCAACACTGTATGTGAAGAGCCTGATTTATATAGAATAAGTGAATAAAAGCACCAGTGTTGTTGGACGGGTGAAATCGTTCAATGAGCTCTCAAGTTCCAAAGGACTGCATAATTATTATCAGAGTACATTGGAAGCTGAAGCTGAGGAAACAAGAGTTATAAGTCAGACTAGGCTTTATAGTAAGACCTTGACAATAAATAAATAAGCACATATTCATGCCGAAGACATAGGACTGTATGAACTAAAACTTTTCAAAGACCTGATATAAAACAAGACAAAAGCAGTATATCTGTCCTGTCAGATACCCCCTATGCAGCACAATGATTCTAACTTTGCAATGTATACCAATGTCAGATAACAACATATGTATATATTTGAGTTGTTTGTTTTTTTTAATTTGTAGAAGAGGGTACATCTTATAATTTCAATTGATTTATAGTAATAATTAGTGATATGTTAGATTTTTAAATAAATCAGGATGATAGTTATTTTCTGGTCATTCATTAATGAACTATTGAAATAATTGTAAGCTCTCTATATAAAAGTTTTATATAAATACTGAACTATTACACAATAGATATCTTTTAAGCTGACCTTCTAGAAAGGCAAAGATTGAATCAAAGTGCAGGAATTTCATTTCTGTGAAGGACAAAAATGATAATGTTCAGGCCGACACTTTGCTTTCTAATCATCTTACTTAATTCAGTGGTAGACCCTGGAAGAAGTAGATAGTGAGCTAAAATGCCCATTAACCTGTCACAATCAAATATCAGATGTCTTAAATGAATCTTCAGGCAGTGTTGAATCAAAGCCAAGATATAAATGAATTTTCTTTTAGGTTTGTGTAATACCTTTTTGTAACACAAAGAAGAGATGTCCTTTGGAATGTCAGATATAGGAAGTAATGACTTTGGTTTTCTAGTCAGATGCCCATAATAAACCTTACAGAGACTAAGTTAATTCTGAAAATGACTTAGTTTTTGATGAATCATATATTTTTAATGATTTTTTCTTATAAAATGTGTAGTATGCTTTTGTAATAATGTTGAAAATCAACACTTTTACCATTGGATTGATGTTAATTTAGCATACAGTAAAGACTTCTTTAGTCAAATTCTATATGCTCTAATATGGGTTATAAAACAGAATGTGTTTAATTGTGGGGAATAATTAAAATCTGAAAGCTACTTTTCAACAGTTTAATTAATAATGTAGTGCAGTAATAGAATAAGGTATTAGTATTTAGCCTGAATTTGTCTATGTGCTATGTGCATGCAGTACTTATGGATGCCAAAAAGAGATTGTTAGGTCTCCTGGGACTTCGGTTATAGACATTTGTGAGAAGCAATGTCAGCTCTGCAACTTGAACTTGGGTCATTTTGGAGAGTATCCAGTGCTCTCTCCTGTTTAATGAACTCTCAGCTGCATTCTTTGCATTGTTAACAATATATATGTTGCTACATTCAAATATAGTCCAATGAAAGTTTTTATCCAATAATAAATAACAACAGAACTATTTCTCTACTCAGCCACTTATAAATTTTATGGCTACTTAATTTGTTTCCAAACATATTAGAATATACTTTTCTGTTATACGCACTCTTCTATGATTTATGGCCATAAAACAACACTAAAATTTTTTACATTTATTCAATAGTAGCTTTATTGTATGATATAGAGTCTATAGTTTGGGCAATAACTTAGTAAAAGCATTGGTCCTAATCAAAATATAAAGGTCAAAAGTGCAATAACTCATATTTTTAGGCCAGCAAGACTGTCTTGAATAGTAAATAATATCTGGTCAATAAAATTAAATGATAGGGGAATCTTGCAGTCTAAATATGGATGATAAAAGTAATAAAGGTTTGAGCAAAAATAGTTTGAGACAAGGATGTTAGTCTTAGAGAAAGCACAAGATATTCAGGACAGTAAAAGGAATTTGAAATAATTGGAGTGGATCGTATTCAAATTGTAAAATGTGCTCAAACAGAAAGGTGATAGCACATGAGGTCCTTAACTGTCAGGCTGAAGCAGTGGAGTTTACTTGGGAAGTGATGATATTTGCAGTTATACTGGCAAGGTGAGATGAAATATTCATGAAGTTATTATGAAAATAAAAAAAACTGCTGAGAAAATATATTCTTACAAACACAAGAAATGCTTTCTGCACTTGATATGGTTTGGGTCAGAAAAACATAAAAATATATCCGTGTGTTTTGCACAGTTTGAAAGACGTTCTGAGTAACATTCAGCTAAAAAATGTGCCTGTTCCCTCTTAAATCAAGAGACACATATAAATATCCTTCGAGGAGGTACGAGTAGAGATTGAGCAGCTGTACACAGTGCCGGATTGACTGATTGAGGCAAAGCTTCTGGGAAGGAAGGGAGATAGCTGAAAAAGGTGACAGCCTCAGATAGGTCTACATTAGAAAATGCATTAATAATTAATTTCTCAAACCTATCTCAGGCCAAGCATTGATAATATATAGGGCATGTCAAGAGTTCTTATCAAGGAAAGAAATTCAGATATCCCTAAGTAGTCTGGAGGAGAAAATTCTGGACCTGTTTAACAGCTGGGGAGGGGGAATATGACTGCATTGTAATTGCGTCAGTAAGAAATGCAGGAGTACCAGAAATTTGAGTGATGTCTGGCCTATGTTGAAGACCTTATCTCAAAACAAAGTGAAGAGTTTAAGTATAATCCTGCTGATTTGGATGCATATAAAATGCCTATGCCCTTGAAGTAAGAGTGCTGCTTCTGGAGATCCACATGTGGAGAGGTATTGGGAGGAAGAAGAGTAGAGAAATTCATCAGTTTACATATCGGCAAGGTTGCTGAGACATTGTAAGTGGAGTATACGGACTGAAAAGTTTACAGAATGCTGAAAGCCTCTGAGGGTTGCTCCAAAGTCAGGGTCAGCTTAGATAGTCTAAAGAGTAGTCTGTTGGAGATTTAGCTCAGTGGTAGAGTACTTGTCTAGCACGCACAAGGACCTGGGTTTGGTCCTCAGCTCTGGAAAGATTAGTCTGCAAAAGTCAATTTTGGGTACCATGAAAACCAAGAGATAAGTGTTTATTGCTGTATTATACAAGAACACTTGCATTTGACCAGTCAAGAGATCCCTGTACAATTATGGAGAAAGAGTTATTTACCTTGTATAAGAAATCTGTGATTTTTTTCTTTTAGATTTTCTCAATCTTTTTGAAATTTCATGAATTCTTGTTTTGATGTTCCTTCCTTCCATTTAATTAATTTGATGAGAGATTTATTATTTTTTTAAACTACAGTTTGCTCTTAAGTATGAGTAAGAAAATATAGGGGCAGAATTCATTATCAAAGTTGTTTAAGACGATTACTTTTTTCTAGTAGAAGGTAAAAACTAAGTAACCTCTCAGTATATGATTATGTAATGATACATTGACAAAATTATAAAACTAAAATTTATCTTACTCTAACCCATAATTTCATGTTGCATAAAAGTGTTTTGATATGAACTGAATTTTGATGATCCTAAAATTATTATAATAGAATTTCACAGATGCGTAAACATTTATTTTAAATTTAGCCACAGAGTAAATCACCCACAAAGAGAACAAAGCAGCAAGTACAGGGCTTGCATAGTCTTGGTCTGCTCCTGGTCCTCTGCAAGTCTTCAGGTTTAGTTATTTTAAGGACCCTTCACCCTGAATGTGTGAATGATTGGGTTTCCCACTCATGTATTCTCTTGGGCTCCTTTCCTTCAGTTGTTGATTTTTATTATAGCCAATATTTTATTTTATTATATTTCATTGTTATCTTTCAGAAACCTATTTTCTTTTTACCTTTTTTCTTACCTTCCTTGTTTCTTTCTTTTATTCTCCCTTCCTTCCTTCCTTCCTTCCTTCCTTCCTTTCTTCCTTCCTTCCTTTCTTCTTTTCTTCCTTCATTCCTTCCTCCCTGTCTGTCTCTCTCTTTCTCTCTCTCTCTCTCTCTCTCTCTCTCTCTCTCTCTCTCTCTCTC